GGGTATGCAAACTGGGCAAGTAAGACAAGTTATTTTGGTGTCTTTTCTATCCCTCGATCGGGCACACCACCAGATATATAAGCCCTCAATAAAGGTTTGTCGAATGAAAGATAAAGAGGGAGAGGCTATTTTTCTTGGCCAATGTCTTCTCCTTAATATTCAGTTTTAAGCAGTGAGCAACTTACCAGCCAAGAGAGAAACCAAAAATGCTGACCTACCTATAAATAAAATACATTATCCATAAAGTGATTCTTTCCGGTGTAAGCTGCTAATGGCATTTATAGGAAAAGCTTGGGAGACTGTGGGTTGGCCGCAATCACAGGAGGAGTGACAGGACACTGACTACCTCTCAGTTATCGAGTGGTATTTCTCTAATTCCAAGTCTATCTAATGTAACCTCACAAGACTGCACATATAAACACGGTTCAAGGTATCTCCATTAAAGCCAGCAGATTTCTCTGACTCAGAAAGGAGCCATGGTAGCAGTTTCCCTGTAACTTCTTGATTTTATTAAGTCCTCAACTCATAGTACTTTGTCAGTTTGGCAATGTAGAGTAACACTACCAACAACTTGCCTATCAAATTTCATTTTTCTTTTGATAATTAAAATTTTGAGCCTGAAAGTTGCAACTGATTACAAATAAAGCAATTTCTTTTCTTCCCTGCTTGATGATAAGCTTAGGTATTTTACATCTACCCCTTAGGAGACTTCCTCATTTTAAACAAAATAACATCCAAAAAAGTTAAGTAGTTCATTCAAGGTCAGTCAGTTAATCATAGAGGCTGGTCTACTAGTTAAGTTCACTACTATTTGCAGGAAGTAGCCTACTAGTTAAGCTTAACTCAAATGAATGTGATTTGGTAATGTTTGTTTAAATGATCAATATTTTTGAGTACTTACTATGTGCTAGGGCTGACCTGGGGAGATAAGAATACCCAGAAACCATATTTTATGGTTTGGATCTGAAATGTCTCCCCAAGTCTCATGTATTTGGGGGTGGCTGGATCATAGGGGTGCTGCTCTCATGGGTAGACTCATCCAGTGATGAGCTCAGTGCTGAGGTACTGTTGGGAGGTGGGACCTGGACAGAAAAGGCATGGAGGCGTGACCCAGAAGGGTATACATCATCTTCCTCCATCAGGCCTTCCTTCACAGGCACTGTGCTGTGAACCTGGCCACCATGATGGGAACACTTCGTTGCATCAGACCCTGCCAGCACACCCTTCTTGCCTTGAGCCAGCCAGGAAAACATGAGCCACAATCAACCTTCCTTCCTTTAATGTGTTGGTGTCAGTATTGTGCTTCAATACCAAGGAAAGGGACTAAGACATCCTCCTAATTCCTCAGTAAGTACACAACAAAATCAGGAAGGATGCACCTATTTCGGCTGTAACTGGGGAAGGTAGTAAGTGGGGGGTACTAGACACACGCACGACATGTTCTCTGAACACTACACAAAAGGTTCATTCTTCCATGAGCTGCTAGACAAGTGTCAGAATGTATTTCATCAAGAGAAGCACACTTCGAATGTTTCTTTTCCAATTTTAAAAATCATTCCTCAGGTTAACAAAACTTGAGTAACTAATATCCTTATGCTTTCTATCATTGACCTCAGGGCTCTTAATTTTAAAAGAAGAATGAAACCAAAGGTCTCACCAGATGACAACTGGTATTTTGTCTGTGGGACTGGTATCACTTATTTAAATTGAGATAAGACATAAGACATGTAAAGTGATTAATATTGTGCCAGGAAAATAATACAGGGGTGATCAAAAGATATGGTGAATGCTTAAAATGTTTTTCAAAAATAGATTAGAAAAGGGCACACTGTCATTAATTCATTCCCATCAGGTTACTCCTCCTGGATTCCAACACACTTATCCCATTGTTCTTGCCACTTTCCAAACTAGTGCTAAAAGTCCTCTTTTGTGTCTTGATGAAGTGTACGCAAACATATAGTCAGTGTTAATGCCAAATGCTAGATAGCAAAAAGGCAGGCCTTAAAAATATTATGATCTGCCTTCATCCACCTTATTCATTGGATCTGCACTATATAACTTCTGGCTCTTCTCAATGTCAAAATGACCTTGAAAGATAAACCTTTGGAGGGGTACCAGGAATTGAACTCACGACCTCATGTTTGCCAAGCAGGCACTTAGGCTGCAGAGCTAAACCCCTGGCCAAGATAAACATTTTGAATCGATCCAGAACATCGAGGAAGCCATTTAGATTGTTCAACTGAAGACACACACGTGAAAGAAGACTTCCTGGACAGCTTGGGAAAGCGGCAAGAACTATGGGACAAGGTGTTCAAGGGGTGGGGGAAAGAAGGGGATTCATGGTAATGAAACTTGTCCCCTACCCTAAAACTTGTTAAAATTTAAACGCATCATTTTTTTTTATCACACCACACGTGGCTCAGTAATGTCTAACGTTCATTCACTGTTAGGGCATACTAACTTGGATGGAAACTCTCAGACATCTAGCAAGGAAGGAGCAATCCAAATTACAAAACAACAGAATGGTGGGGAAGAGCTCTGAAGAATCCTTAAAGGAATATCACTAACCCTACTAAGCCCATCGAAAGACTGTGGCGGTTCTTCAACTTTGCCACTATATTGACTCATCTTTCAAAAAGCGCACCCTGTAGGCTTTTAGTAATAATTTTTGTCATTTCAAGAATCTTGGTTCTAAGAAATTGAATCATTTCAACAGCCCCCTGATAAGCAATCCAGGAGTGTAGCACGTTTTCTGGGATAAGATTCTAAATAAGAAACTAAGTTTATCTAAGCCTGAAGCGGAAGTTTAGATGCTCTGAGCTGACTCTCCATCTGGCAATTATAATGAAACCTTGCAGGGTTTTTTTGTTTTTCTTTTTCTTTTTCACTTTCTTTTTCTTTATCTTTGTGTGCGTACACACTCGCACACACAACCAGCGTCTCCACAGGTGATGCATCGTTGGGAGAAGGCTGCAGGCCCAGGCGCGCTTTTCCCAGGGACGCACACTACTTTCCGGCAGAAGCCACAACTTCACCAGCGGGGAAGAATCTGCGGCTGTGCGCGCGTTTCCACCGCCAGGCCGCCTTCCCCTCGCCGGCTGGGGCAGGAGAGGCGCCGCTCCGGGGACTGCAAGTCCACCCAGATCGCGGCCCCTGCCCGCGCCGTGGCGCTGCTCTGCAGCCGAGCAGGTGAACCTTCTTCCCGCAGCTGGATGAATAACGCATGGAGCGGGAGGGAAGCCGGGAGCCCAGAGCCGAGGGTGAAGCCGCCTTTCTCGCGTACCACGACTCCCTTCCCCTCTGAAGCACTAACTGGGCCACTTCCCCGGCTCCGCCAAGCAGGTGGGAGCCCCCAGCGCGGCGGGCAACTCTGAACTCTCGTTTCCTTACGGATGTGTTTGTTTGCCTGAGCCTAAACTGTGTTTGATATCATGGCGACAACGCTCACCCACCGCCTCCTTCCTTTCCCCGTCCTCAGCTCCAGGGTTTCATAAGTAGGTTGGAGACCAGCGAGAAAACCCGGAGGCAGAGGGCGAAGTAAGACAGTGAACCCAAACTCTCCTGAACCACTTTTCCTGGAGAGCCGGCAGGCTCGCGCTCCTCGGTAGGGGAGATTTATTTCCGTGCAGCTGCCTACACCAGAACCCGCCTAAGCAGCTAGTTAGGAAATCTCACTGGGCTCCAGGGGGAGACTTCCTGGGACGCGGCGAGCCGAGAGCAGGGAGGTTAAGGTGTAGGATTTCACGTTTCACAGGAGCAGAAGTATTTTCACCCAGTAGGAGCAATGGCTCGCTCCTCGTCTTCCCTCCCAGAAGCTGCTTTTCCTCCGGCGGCAGGAGGATGTGGAAAGAAAGGGAATCTAGTCTCAGGGGTGCTACCTCCCGAGGCCACACACCCACCCAAAAGCACTTCAGGGGAAAAGGGAGGCCGAGGCGGGCCACGATCTTAGTGCAAATCAATCAGAAGTAGCAATCCACTGAAAAAAGCCCACTCCCTCCCTAAACAAAAAACTCTCGACTCCCGCCCTAAAGAAAAAACAAAAACTTCCCCACAGAGCACAGCATCATAAAACCCGCTGCTCAGTTTAAACTGCAAGGACAGAGAGAGAGAGAGAGAGCGAGAGAGAGAGAGAGAGAGAGAGAGAGAGAGAGAGAGAGAGATCCGCTGCTTTACCTTCGGAATGACGAGCTAGTACTGCAAATTCCGCCAGCGCTAGGGCCACGCCGAGCCACATTTTGAGGGCATCCATCGCTGCCTCGGAACCCGCCAGGGGGAAACCCAGCCTTCCGCATCCAAGGATCCGATCTCGGCCAAACCGCGGGCTTCGGCGCCACGAGCCCGGGCGCAGCGCGCGGGGACCTGGGGCGGGGGAAAGAGGCGCTGGGCGGGTCGGAGGTGCCCACCGCGGGGGTTCGCGGCGCTCCTCCGCCGGGCGGCGCTCAGCAGCTGTGCAGCTGTAGACACCAGCTCTGCTTCTGCAGGACAGCGCGGGCTGAGCTGAGGAGCAAGGAGGAGGCAAGGCGCCCTCCGTGACCAAGTCTCGCAGGAAAGTTGCTGGTCACCGGATGCACCGCGCGCTCTCAGGTCCCCAACCGCGCGCAGCCCCTCGCGCCGGGTCCTCGCGGCCGCGCTCTGAAGTTGGCCGGACCCCGTGGGTCCGCACAGCTTCTGCGGAGAGGGTGAGCGCAAAGAGCCGCCCACACCCACTTCTCTGCCCGGCCACCTCGCGCTCCGCAGCCGCGGGCTGGAAACTTTGCGCCGCGCCGCGGTGACTCCGCGCCTCACCCGCGCTCTCTGCAGCAGACTAGGGTGGAAGAAAGGAGGCTGCGGGGGCGCGGCCCGCCCCAACCCACGCCCACCCAGCCCTGCGCACCCCGGAGCCGTTCCGCAAGGCGGAGGTGAGGTTACTGGGGAGGAGGAGCAGCCACAATGTGAGGTGTACTGCAGAAGGCGTGAGGCTGGAAAAGACTCCCAAACTCAGCGCTGTCAGAGCTGGAGAGCTCAGAAACGCACCGAAGTCCGCGTCTGGATCCCCGCATTTAAGGGACACCAGCTCCGCCTCCTTACCTCCTTCCTCTCTCAGAGCTCGGTGTGAAAATGGACCCAGGGACTCCGAGCAAAGACTCCAGAATCACGTGGGTAAGAGAGACAAGGAGGGGGGCCGCAGGCCGAGGGAGAGCAACCTGATCCCCTTATTCATGCGGCAGGAGTTCAGATTGGCTTTGTCTGGGGCGGGACCCAAGGTGGTCACACCGTGGAGGAGGGAAGGGGTGGACGTAGGTGGCGCGGTCCTTACCCAGGCATGCCGCCGAGGGCTCCCGACCTGGGTCCACATCCTCACTTAGGGAAGAGGTGACTGGGTGATGGGGTGCCCACATTAAACCTTGCGCTATCTCCCCCACCCCATCGTCCGCTGCTCCTGGGAACTCTTTCTTCACTCTAGGACCCTTCTGCGGTTTTATCCGCACCCGGGGATGCTCTGCTGTGTGCGTCCCAGGGAAAACCTTCTCACCGCCGCCGACACACCTTTACCTCTCCGAGATGCGGGAGTGGACACCACGCAGCCCGGGTGCGCCCCCAAACGCCAAAAACCTGGTGCGTACTTGGAAAGCAGAGACTTTATTCCCAGCCAGGAATGACAAACAGCAGCTATTTTTCTAGAACCAAATAAAAATAGCCAGTTCAGGCTTAATCTTTTTATAAAATGGGAAAGCTTGCATCAGAGAGACACTGGCTGGGTTCCACATAGCCCAGTGAAGAGATGTCCTGGTTCCCTCAACTGAGCAGAGATGGGTCAGATTGTCAGAGTGGAGTTGGTAGTAGCTTTGGCCAGCTTGAGACTTCAGGGGTTCCAGTTTTGTCCAGTTTCCATGAGCCCACTTCTAAAGCATGCGGAAGCCGCTTGGAATGATTTGCTTCTCGGACAACACTGAAACTGCCAGATCCCTGTGAGTATTACCATTTAACCAGAACTGACAGGGACCCTCTGATAACCTGTCTGTAATTCTTGAGTGTTTCGAAGACCCTGGAATATGATGAGTAGCCCTCAGCCTCCTCACTGGAGTGTGGTGATCCTAGGGACAGAAGCTTTCTCATCTCTGTCTTATGCACAGTTAGGGGCTCTGTACGTATTTGTTGAGAGAATAGACAACAAAAAGTATGTCCCTCAGAGCAGCAACTGCATCAAGTTGGGCTGGGGGCCTTAACTTGTTCCCAGATAAGTGCGCTTCTTTTTTAGAAAGTGGACATTTTCTCGCCCGTGTAAAGTGTTATGCAAACTCATCTTGGAACACACACTGACACCAGACTGCCATCCCACCCCCTTCATACAGAAGAGTTTTGTAGCCACTGCTGACTAAATAACTTAAAGTTATTTATTCTCACTAGAATCCACACTTTGGGTTTATATATAAAAATTCATACAATTATGGCACACAAGAGGGTCTCAATAAGACATCTGTTATACTTGAGAAATGCAAATGCACTACTCTGTAAAAAGGAAAAAATGGAAGATGGAGGGAGAGCAGCACTACTGAGGTCCCCTGAATCCAACATGTACTGTATTTACTGGATGTACATACAACATTCCTTCCTCCGCCACCAGCCCACCACGGGACACCTGAAGGCCAGCTGTCTTCTCTCTACATCAGTTAGTAAAAGGGGGGTAGTCCCAGAGAACCCCTGCCCCAAGATCACTTAGATGACCTAAAGGTTAAGTTTAGCCATATCTAATAATACCTACGGTCACTGAAGCTAAAATGTTCAAAACACAAGAAATTGTATTTGCATAATTTAGCATAAGCACTGTTATGGATGTGCAAGTATGACTGTTAATGGTGGCAGGGCAACCTGAATGGATTAAGAAGTGCCTAGCAAATTAATGAAGCACCAGTCTGGGTATGTCTGTGGGCGATTGACATCTAAGCCAGCAAACTAAAGAGGAAAGACCCACGAGGATATGAGTGTCACCAACCAATAGGCTTGTACCCTGGAAAGTATAAAAAGGGAAAGAAGAAGAAAGTGTTCTCATTTTTGAAAGATCTCCAGTCTTCATCATCATTTTGGTATATTAGTTTCCAGTTTCTTCAGCCTTCCAGTGGAGAGATTCACTGGCAGCTCTTACAGTGAGCTTGACTGGTGCTGCATCTTTGACGTCCCTTGTGCTGTGTCTTCCATCAACTTGAGCTGAGCTACAGGATCAGCCTGCAGGAAGCCGCTGTGGATTCTTCTACCTCTGATCCCACTCACAGCCACTGTGGACTCTCCAGACTCTGATCCTGTAAGCCTATCTAATAAATCTACTTGCATAATTAGACATATATTTTCTATTGATTCCATTCCTCTAGGGAACCCTGATTAATATAGCAAGTATTCATAAATAGCTTATCTTTATAAGTTAACCTCTGCAAATGGGTGCTTCACTCAAACAACCAAGCTGCTTCCTACAGAGAGTGGCAGTTTTTTGTCCAGAGATGTTTGGGTCTACATCTTCAGTCCTCTTTCTGCACACGTGCAGATTGTACAACTTCCATTAATGTGTCACACACTGCCTCCCCAAATCAGCCCTGCTCTGATCTCTTCGTATGTACTTGGCTTTATTGCTGTTCATATTGAGGGATTTATTTATAGATCTCTCTGTTAATGACAATGGTGTACAGAGATATTGAATACCTTGTATCTAATACTATATACTTTCCCATATAATCCTCCAGTAACTCTGGGAGATAGATACTATTATTATTTCAATTGTCCTGTAAAATAACTGATGTTCAGCGAATTAACTTTTCCAAAGTCAGACAGTGAATACATTATGTAGCACATTAAGAGTAAGTAACAGAGATGGGTGCAGGGGCACCACCTATAGTCCCAGCATTGGGAGGTTGAGGCAGGAGAGTCGCAAATCTAAGGCCATCCTGGATTGTAGAGCAAGAACCTGCCTCAAAAAGTAAAAAAAATAAAATAAAATAAAAAAATAAAAAATAAATAAAATAGCTACTATAATAGATGAAACCCCGAATTACAGTATTTCACCACGAGTTTATTCCTCAATCACATCCTAGCTCCTAGGCATTGATGGCCCCTGCACATTAGCCTCGTGGCGCTGGTGACTTACACATAGGCCATCTGGAAACCTGTGATATCTACTACTTCTATTTCAGGGTAATGAAGGAAGCACTGCAACCTATAAGGGCCTTAGCCATTCCTCTCAAAGAACAGTGACAATAAGGAATCACATGGTCTTGTCCTGCAGCAAGGAAGGACAGGTCACATAGGGGAACACGTTAATATTTAGTAAGCTCTACTTCAATCCAAAGCCCGTGCTCTTATCTTCCCTGTCATTAGCTACAATATCAGCAAAACACCAACTGGAACTTTCTTGCTACCATTCAGGCTTTGATGACCTTTGTTACATTGTGCTCCTGGTTCTCTAGTCTGTCTTTACTCTGTTTTTCTTCTCTTCTGTTTTATTCTCCTTTCTCTTCTTCCTTCCTATCTTGTCCTCTTCTGGTTGTGTTTTCTTTCTGTGTAACCCCACTCTGCGCGCAGAATCTTCTATCACCTGTCTCATGAATGTGCCTTCTCCAACCTCCTTGCAATTTGATACATGCTTCTGCCTTTCAGCATGTGACAATACTTGTTGCTTTTTTGGGCTTCAAATAGTTATGTTTTTTAAAAAAAGAATATTCAAATAATAAGTGAGTATAAACCAATAGGCTCTGCTATAATCTAATTTTCTCCACAAGGATAACCACAGCATGTATATTCAAATATTTTTGTCCATTAAACTAAAGATGGTTTTATGCAAAGTTATGGTAATAGTTTAGATGATATTTTTAATCTGAATATTTTTACCATTGAATAATATGGCAATATCATTAGTTTGTAGGCCAAATCATATCAACCAACTCGGTTTTCAAGAACTATGCAAGTTTACATTGCATGGCTGTATCCTTAGATACTTTGCTAATCCCCTTTTGAAGCCATAGTTTGTTTCTTTTTTGCCATCATTAATAAAATCTACACATGCCCATGAAAGTCCATTGTACATGTATCATCCAGTTCATGTTGTTATATATCATTTAATCTTTGCAAATCTCAAAAGGTTAAATAGCTCTTTGCTCAACATCATTTATTAGCTGTGTCCTTGGGCAAATTAAACCCCCAAGGCTCAGTCTTCCTGTCCGTTAAATGCACATTGTGATTTTGTCTACCTTACCCTACAAGACTTTTGTTTGCATTAAATAAAAGTACCTCATTCAAGTTATACAACATGTTAGCCAAATAAAATACAGGTATCTTATAAATTTGCATTTTTTTGCTCATTAGTGAGATGAGACACCTTTTCTTATATTTAATTGCATTTCTTTGCAATTATCTGAGCGGGTGTTTATGTATCTTTCTGTGTATCATATTTAGATTTCTTTATATAGTCAGTATATTAGTCCTTTTCTATGAATTTAGATAATATTTTACAGAAAGTAATTAGTGATTTACTGTTTACTTTTGTGGGAAATGTATTTCCTCAGCAGTATCACTGAAAACAAATTCATAATTAAGATCAAGGAAAAAAAGACTTTATACTTTTCTTTCCTGTTTCTAAAAATCTGTTGCTTTGTTTTATTTTCCTTACTGAGAGAAAGTACCAAACACTTGTGCACTGAACCAGCCATTGTCTCGAATGGTATCTGTTCTTATTGGCTGCTGCATGTCCTTATCTGTTGTGAAACACTTTTAATATTGCCCCAGTACCTATCATGGCCACATAGCAGAAAACCAAGAAACACGGGTCACAAAAAGTGCCAAGTGGTCACAATAGCCAATAAAGGAAAAGTAGAGAGATCATCTTGACACACTTAATCAATTTATTTCCTAGATAGAGTACCCTGCTTTGGTTTTAAAATAAAATCCCTGTAAGCTTAAACTTTGCTATGACAGGTTTTTAAACTTTACTTGTCTTCTATATAACCAATTATCTTCTAATCATATGGAGAACACTCTGAATAACCTATGTACCTGATCATGACAAGGAATGAAAGCAAGATAGTTAAGGCAATAAAAACATATCAGGATACAAAATGAACATTTAGAAGTCAGTACTGTTTCAACACACACATAATGAACAAGTTGAGAAAGAAATCAGGGGGAAAAAACCATGCACAATAGCTTTCAAAAACATTAAAATACATATGAATCAACCTAACAAAGACAGAATTGTTAAGATGGTCATGTTTCCAAAAAGAACCTGCACATTCCATGAAACTTGCATCAAATTCCAATGACATTCTTTACAGAACTAGAAAAAAAAAAAGTACATATGGAAACAAAAGTTCAGAATAGCCAGAGCAATCCTGAGCAAAAATAGCAAGGCTGGTGTCATCACAGTATCTGATTTCAACTTATTTTGCAAACCATAGTAACAAAAGCAGTATGGTATTTACACAAAGACAGACATATAGGTCCTTGGAATAGGTTAGAGGGCATTGGAATAAAACCACACAACTACAGCTACATGATTCTGAACAAAGGAACCAAAAACATGTCTTGGAGAAGAGACAGCCTCTTTAACAAATGGCACAGGAAACTAGATACCCACTTGTAGAAGATTGAAACTTGAGCCCTATCTCTCAATCGGTTTAAAAGTCAATTCAAAGTTAATCGAAGATCCAAGTATAAGACCTGAAACTTTGGAAATGCAGGAGAAAAACATAAGGAACTGGACATGGTAAACCATGCCTGCAGTCCCAGCCACCAGGAGGCCTGCCTGGGCTACACGGTCAGTTCAGGGACGCCTAAACTACATAGCAAGGCCCTGTCTCAAAAATGCAAAAACAAAACAAACAGCAAACAATCTGGAGAAAAATTGTTTTTCAGCTGCTCCTCAGACAAAGGATTACTATTAAGAACATATAAAGAACTCAAAAAAAAAATCAGACCTTCCAAATTGGAGATCTAGTCCAAAAATGGGCATCTGAGATGAATACACACTTCCCAGATGAAAAAATACAAACAGTAAAACAAATATATGAAGAAATGGCCAATATTATTTGTGTTTTGAGAGATTCAAATTAAAACAACACTGAGATTCCCTATCACCCCAGAAAGAATAGCTATTATAAAGAAATCAACCAATAACAAATGCTGGAGGAGTTATGGGGGAAAAGGAACTTTTCTCCGCTGTTATTGAGAGTATAGACTGCTGCAACCACTGTGGAAATCACTGTAGAGATTTCTCAAAAACTAGAATTAGAGGGCCCATTTGACTCAGCTATTCTTCTTCTGGGTATTTGCCCAGAACAATTAAAAACATCACACTACAGCACTATATGCACACCCATGTTTATATCAGCACAATTTGTCATAGCAAAATCTTGGAAACAACCCAATACCCATCAACCAAGGAATGGATAAAAAAGATGTGGTTTTTTTTTTAAATATACTAGAGTATTACTGAACCATAAAAAAGGATAAACTGGAGACTTTTATTGGTATGTGCAACTCAGTCCATACTCATAAGTGAAATAAAGCAGACTCATGTGTAAGCATCATCACAGTGTAAGAAGCTGAAAGCACAAATACGATGTTATAAACACATATGAATGCTGGAGATAATGGCATGCTAGCCTCCCAAAATTTTCTTCCTTTTCAAAATTGTTTGAATAATTTTCAGTCTTTTGGATTTTCATATAAATTGTAGAAAAGCCCGCCAATAAAAAAATGAAATTTTCATTAGAATCAGATTATTAGATGAGTTTTTGAAAAATTGTTATTTTCAAGTGTTTCACCTTAAACTTTTTCTCAAAAGCTTCAATTTCTGTGTAATGTTTTCTAGTTTTTGGTATATAGGTCTCATAAATTTGGTGGTAAGATTTATCACTGTTTCATATCTTAGTACTCTTGTAAATAACATGTTTGGTTTCTGTTTGTCACCATGAAATGGAAGTACAGTTGCTTTTCAAAAAATTTTATTTTAAATAAAAAAGACACTTTGCAAGTAATCCTCTCTAAGCCCAGCTCTTTGCATCAAACACACTTTCCTTACTGTTCTTGTCTCTTTCCGAAGCCGTTCTGGAAGCCTAATTAGTATTTTTGTGAGGTGTGAGCAAAAAATTACAGTGCATGCTCCTGCCAAGTGCCACCCAACAGCAAGTCAGGCTCATAAAACTCTATGGTGTGTCCTCCTCCCCGTTTGTTCTTTGTGACTTCTGGATCATTCCCCAAAGTCAAAAATAACCATGAAAGGTAAATGTTTTGAGTTAATTTAGGACATTGAGGCAGTCACAACACTGCAACTAAAGACACTTGGGAAACAAGACTTCCAAAGAGCTTCAGAAAGTGGCAAGAAATTACAGAATAAAGAAAATGATGGAATAAATGTGTTTGAAGTGAGTATGATTATTTGAATGGAGATTAATGACAATGTATCAATGTAATGAACTCGTTAATTATTCAGTGTATTTATCACATCATATAGAGTAAGAATTGAGAGGCACAAAACAGAGTAGAAAAATTTGAAATACTTAAATTTTTGCCCGAAAGGAAAAACATATAAAGTGGTCCAAAAGAAGTGTAACTGCTGAAAAAATTTGTGCCATTAAAAGGAAATCAAGGGGCTGGGGATTTAGCTCAGTGGCATAAGCACCTGCCTTGCAGGCAGGTAGTCATGTCATGAGTTCAATCCCGGTACCGATTAAAAAAAAGAAGAAGAAAGAAAGAAAGAAGGAAATCAAGTACATAGTACAAGGATGAGAATAAAGATACCTTACTGGCATCTCTGAAATCTGCAAGACCCTACCCATTACATGGTGAAACATACAAAAGTGACAATCTTTCATTTAAGAAGGGAGACCCTGGGTCTCCATTAAAAGAAAGAGTATTTTAGGGAATTAGCTTCTCAGGATTCACCTTGTCCATTCGTCCAGGCACTCAGAGGCCACTGTGGCCCAAGGGGGCCTCACAGCTGCTCCCAGTGACCTTGATGTATATATTACATTGGTTGTTCAGGCGTGCAGAATGCTAGAATTCTGAAGTCAAGAAATTTTCCACTAAAAATTCAAAGGAAAGCTTGGAAAAAAAATGGCATAGGCCTCAGGATAGCACCAAATCCACTGGATCATAGACATGGAGCTACAGGATTTAATGTTTGCCCTGCTGCATAACTGTCTTGGTTTGGTCTAATCATTTCTTTTTGTCTCCACTCCTCTATTTTGGACTGGGAATGTTTACGATGTTCCACTGTGTCCTGCACAAATATAACTCTAAAAGAAAAAAATTTTGTAGGATTTTGGAGCTAAAGGTTTGTGTTGAGTCTCAGGGGAGACTTTGGACTTGAACTTCTGGACAGTGCTAGAACTGGTGAAACTGTGGGGCTCTTTGAGATGGATTGAATGCATTTTGTGTTGTGCAATGGGATACGAGCATTTGTAGACTAAAGGCAGAAATGTTATGGTTTGAATCTTAAATGTCCCCCCAAAAGCCCATATGTTGCTGTCTTGGTTTCCAGATGATGTAGAGATAGTAAAATACAGGAGGTAGGACTTAATTAAAGGAAGTCACATCATTGCAGGTGTGTCTTAGGAGGGATATTTAGGTCAAGGCCCCTTCCTTTCCCTCTCTTTATTTCCTGGCAACCATGATTTTCTCCACGACATGCTTACTGCTGTGATTTTCTCCTTTACTCCAGCATAGCCAAGTGATCATAGACTGAAACCTTTGACATCATGAGCCAAAATAAATCTTCCCTTTTCTCTACTGAGTTTGTTTGTTTTTGCCATCCTGAGGATTGAACCCAGGGAGTGCTGAGCTATATCCGCAGTGCTTTTTATTTTAGTTTGATACAGCCTTTTGGTAACTTGCCCAGGATGTCTTTGAATTTGTTTCTTTCTTGTCTCAGACTGAGTAGCTAGGATTATAGGTATGCACTACTATAACCAGCCCTTTACTAATTTAAAATGATTTTCTCAGGTATTTTATCACAGTGCCAGAAAGCTAACATAACAGGATTTCCAAATACTCTTTGAATGTGCTTCAGATAAGAAGATACACCAAAATAGGTACTACTTCTGTTCCTGTCCCATACAGTGAAATATTCTGAATAACCTATAATTTAGATGTGCATCATAAGTTGTGAGCCATTCATAAAATGGAATGCATGAAAGCAAATTCATAATTCTCTTTGCTCATAATAAATTGAATAAGATGTTCAGTGAGTTTAAGGAGGATTTAAACAGATAAATTTTACTAATAAAATATTTGATGAGCATAAAGAAACAAGCAAGCTAACTGATTTAAGACAATATAAAATATTGATGACCATTTTGGTAAAGACTTAGAAATTATGAAAAGAAAGCAAGTAGAAATACAAAATCTGAAAAAAAAACTTTAAAAAGCATGTTTAAGAGATTTGATGGCTGAGGCAGGAAGTTCACCAAGAATTCAAGGCCAGCCTGTACTGCATAATGAGACCCTGTATCGAGAGAGAGACAGAGAGAGAAAGAGAGGGATAAGGGAGAGAGAGTAGTGAGAAAAGAGTATCTGAAACTGAAGGTAAGGAGTGTGTAATAAATCATGAACTCAGTGATACTCTAAAAACAAGACATCATGAAACTTGTATCCAACAGATGCAAAGTGACTAAAAAAATCCTCAGAATTGTAAGAATAAAGTAAATATGATGGTTCAAAAGGTATAAGAACTTTATTCACTAAAGTCATAGCAGAAAATTTCCAAATCTGGAGAAAGAATTAAGTATTCATGTCTAAAAGGCATACTGCGCCTGGATTCATGTAACAAAAACTATTGGTTACAAAGAGACAGATGGGTGACTTCAGTATCCCACTGTCATACTTATATAGGTCAGTTACAAAAAAAAAATCAACAACAAAATATCAGGTAAACCACCACACCACTGGCAAAACAGACCTCACAGATATCTACAAAGTATTTCACCCAACAAAAACAGGATATGTGTATATATATATATTTTTTTTTCTAACAATGCAGAGCTTTTTCCAAAATAGGCCATTTTTAGATTATAAAGTACGCTTGAATAAATACAAAAATTTGAAATAATCCCCTACACAGTATTTAATTATAGCAGAATGAAACAACAAGAAAGTCAACATCAAATGAAACAGCAAACAATGGTAATTAATAATACATCACTGAATAATCAAAGGATCACAGAAGAGATCAGGGAAGAAATTAAAAATTCCTAGAGTCAGACGATAATGGAAGTACGGCATATTAACATCTGTGGGACACAATGAAAGCAGTCCTTAAAGGGAACTATTGTGCTGTGAATGTACACATTAAAAGACAGAGCAGCCCCAAGTAAATAACCTACTGATGCCTTTCAAAGTCTTAGGAAAACAACAACAACAATTTAAAACCAAAACTAGTACAAGGGAAGAAATCGTAAAGATCAGAGATGAAATTAATGAAATTGAGATTTAAAAAAACACAAAGGAGCAATAAATCAGACTTGATTCTTTGAGAAGATAAACAAGATTGATAAATCCTTAGCCAAACTTACCAAAGGACATAAAAAATCAATATCAATATAATTAGAAATGAAAAAGATGAAATCATAGCAGATATCACTGAAATCCACAAAATTATGAGAAACTACTTCAAAAAGTTCTATTTCAATGGAAAACATAAAAGAAATGGAGAAATACCTAGACATACATTACTTACCAAATTGAACTAAAAATATATAAAAATCCTGAATTGACCAACAATAGCAACAAAATAGAGAGAATAACCAAAATCCTACCTACTAAGATAAGCACAAGGTCTGATGGAATCATCACAGAATTCTAGCAGAACTTCAAGGAATATTTAACATTAATATTCCTGAAACATTTCAAAGAATTTGAAAAGGAAGAAAAACTACCAAACTCATTCCTGGAAGGTAGAATTATCCTGACACCAAAATGGGACAAGGAATTAACAAAAAAGAAAACTACAGGCCAATCCTTTTAATGAGCATAGTTACAAAAATCTTCAGTGAGATCCTGGCAAACATGATGCAACAAACAATTTTTAAAATTCATGTCATGAACAAGTAGGCTTCATCACAAGGATACAAGCATGGTTCAGCACATGTATATCAGTAAACATAATACACATTAACAGAAGCAAGGACAAAAATCATATGATCATTGAAATGGATCCAAACAAAGCCCAACATCCATTAATGATAATCCTTGAAGAAAATAGATATAGCAGGTCCTTATCTCAAACTGGTAAAATCCATTTATGACAATTCCACTGCCAGCATCATACTAAATAGGGAAAAATGAAAGCATTTTCTCTAAAATCAGGAACAAGATGACAGTATTCATTCTCACTATTCATCTTCAATGAAGTACTCAAAACATTAGCCAGAGCAACCAGGCAAAAGAAAACAAAAGAAACTCAAATAGGACAGGAAGAAGTCAACTTACCCTCATTCGCAGATGACATGATCTTTTTTATACAGAAAACCCAAAAACTCTTAGATCTACTAAACAAATTCTGCAAAGTAGCAGGATACAAAATCAACACATAAAAAAAGCAATAGAGTCCCTGCACACCAACAATGAAGCTGCCAAGAAAGCATGAAAACAACCACATTTACCATAGCTTATATGACATGCCCTACTCCTACGGTGAGGAGTAGAGTTAATATACACACAAGTTAGGATGACTAATTTGTTTTCAAAACCAAGATGCTTTTATGCAACAGAGAATGCTGTTAACAATTACGTTAGAATAACAAATCCACAAATAAGACTCCCCTAAACAAGTCGAGGAACTGAATGAAAATTTAGTAGCAAGAGAATGGAGCAATGTGTGGATATTGGAGAGACAACCACAACAATCGTTTAAAAAGTACCTAAGAAAAAATAAAGAACTCATGAGATACTAATTACCAAATACAATAAATTGTCTATAAGAGGAAACTAAACAGTGTTGAGCTTGCTCCTGAAGCCAGCTTTATTTCAAAAAGGAATC